GATGCAACATCAACTCCTGTCAGAATTTCCAGTCTGCCGACCTTACCTGTAGATCTCCAACTTGCCAACCCCCATAATTGCATGAACCAATTGCTATTGGTTCTGTTTCTCTGGATTGGTACCACATGGGAATTTATACCACAAGACCACAAGAATTAGTGCTCTTAAAGTTTTGGACTTTTAGTCAAAGCCATCAAATCTTAAATTTTTAGATTTGGAAGTACTCTAAAACGTTATCAAAGTTAAAATTACAGCTTCATGTTAGGGGCTCCTGGCTGGCTCAGTCAGTGGAGCATATGACTCTTGATCTTGGGGTCGTGAGTTCAAGCCCCACGTTGGGCCTAGAGTTTGCTTTTAAAAAAAATTACAGGGATGTCTTGGTGGCTCAGTGGATTAAGCATCCGACTCTGGATTTCGGCTCAGGTCATGATCTCAGGGTCGTGAGATGGAGCCCCATGTGGGTCTCCACGCTGGGCATGGAGTCTGCTTAAGATTTTCTCTCCTTCTCCCTCTGCCCCTCCCTCTACCCTAAATTAATTAGTTAGTTAATTAATTAATTAGTTAATTAAAATTTTTAAAATTGCAGCTTCATTTTATCGAGAAAACTAAGGCTCAGAGAGGTCAAGTTTCCTATCCAAGGTACGCAGCAGGAAAGTAATTATAATGGGTGAGGCTGGTACCTGGTCTTCTGACTTATACCACTTTTTATATATCAAAAAAACATCAGTGAGATGATAAAATATATACTGTCTTTACACTGTGCCTTGATTTTATGATGGTGTAAGTAATTAATATCTTTTCAGGATCTGACTTACATGTAAGAGTCACTCTGGTTCAAATATGAAGAATAAATAGAATGTGTGGGGGAATTATAGGAGCTGGGATATAGGTTAAGAAGCAGGTTCATAGGGGCGACTGGGTGGCTCAGTCGTTAGGTGTCTGCCTTCGGCTCGGGTCATGATCCCAGGGTCCTGGGATCGAGCCCCGCATCGGGCTCCCGCTCCGTGGGAAGCCTGCTTCTCCCTCTCCCACTCCCCCTGCTTGTGTTCCCTCTCTCGCTGTGTCTCTCTCTGTCAAATAAATAAATAAAAATCTTAAAAAAAAAAGAAGCAGGTTCATAAAAGGAAATCGATTGTAAACTCCATTTGTTACCTGGTGATACCTGCTTAAGGAAATACTAAAACTCCCATAGAGGGTGAGTTTGTTTCCCCAATTAATTCTAAGAGAAGCACCTTCCTACTCCAATTACTAAAACTGGGGAAGGTCTTGAGGTTCTGGATCCCAGTGACCCCTCTGCTGTTTAACACTTGCCTGCCAGGCAGGTTATACACTTAGGCATGGTTGGTGACAGCCTGTGGATTTTAAAGGACACCAGGTAGACGTCTCCTATCAGTTATTCTTGTTACTGTCTGAAAGTCACCCACCGGAACCTGAATCATCTGTGTTAAGTAAGTATCATTCTGTCACAGCACCTACTGTGCACCTGGCCCTATGCTAGTTATTGGGAACAAAGAGATGAATAGATGAGTAAGACATGGTCCTTCACGTCAAGGAGCTCACAGTGTATAACAAAGAATTATAGTACCATGTAGTGAGTTCAAGTGTGGAGATATACACGGGATGAGCTCCCAAGCCAGCCTGGGGTGGAAAGTGAAGGTGAGGGAAGGAGACAAAGAATGTTCCCTGAAGAAGGTAACACCTACACTGAGCCTGGAAGAGAGGCAGGAGAAGGCATTAGCCAGGCAAGGTGAAAGGGGGTGGTGCTGGCAGGAGGTATGGTGTAGAGAAAAGCTACAAGCAGTTCTGGGCTGCCCATGTAACAGGGAGGACAGGGAACAGCAGATGAGACTGAATGGAGGACAAGAGCAGGCAGTGGGGAGAGCCACTGAAGGTTTTTTTTGGTTATTTATTTGTTTATTTATATTTTTTAAAAAGATTTTATTTGTTTATTTGTCAGAGAAGAGAGAGAGAGAGAGAGCTAGCATGCACAAGCAGGGGGTGTGACAGGCAGAGGGAGAAGCAGGCTTCCTGCTGAGCAAGGAGGGAGGGAGAACCAAGGGATCAGGACCTGAGCCAAAGGCAGATGCTTAACCAACTAAGCCACCCAGGCCTCCCAAAGGTGTTTTTTATTTTATTTATTTGTTTATTTGTTTATTTATTTATTTATTTATTTATTTATTTATTTATTTATTTTAGAGAGGGAGAGAGTGTGTGCACGCTCACGAGTAGGGGGAGGGGCAGAGGGAGAGACTGCGAAAGCATATTTCTCACTGAGTGCAGAGCCCCAAAGAGCGCAAAGGTGGGGGCTCCATCTCACGACCCATGAGATCATGACCTTAGCCAAAACCAAGAGTCCACACTCAACCAACTGAGCCACCCAGGTACCCCCGTGGAAGGTTTTAAGGAGGAGAGTGGAATGGTCATTTTTAGATAGATGGATCTAGTTGCTAAGGGAGGAGGGATCAAGGGGTTTGAGATTAGAAGCAGGCAACCCAGTTAGAAGGGGCTTCAAGTAGAAATGGAAAGATGAATTTGAGGAATATTTAGAACGCTAAAATGCACAGGACTTAATAACTAACTGGATGTAGGCATCCCTCACCCCCACCCGCACCCCCTGCCCAGGTTACTTTCAAGCAAATCTCAGATCTTCACATCATTTCATCTGCAAATATTTCAGCATATCTATCTAAAAGATAAGGATTTTTTTTAGAAAAATAACCACAATACTATTTTCACCCCTCTCAATGGACAGTCATGCTTTAATATTATCAAGTATCTAGTCAGTGTTCAATTTTCATCAATGTTAGCTCCTAAATTAAAAAAAAAAAAACTATTTGAATCAGACTCAATAAGACCCATACACTGATAGGTTGACGTGTCTGACTCTCTGTTATTTAAGAAACAGGCTCATCAGTCCCATAGCATTTCCCAGGGTACAGATTGTGCTGATCGCACCCCGTGGTGGTACTTGAATGTATTCTTCTGTCCCCTTTATTTGCTGTAAAATGTTACTTGGCTATAGAGTCCTGATCACATTCGGGTTTGATTCTTTTGTCAAGATTAGATGGTGCTATTCTTCTATCCGGCTTGATTATCTCTCTCTTTGTGATGTTAGCAACCATGATGGTAATTGCCTAGACTTACTAATTTGTTCGGCTTTGCAAAATGACCATGCCTCTCTTTAAGAGGCTGTAACACACCATCTATCACTGAAGTACGAATAAGTTTGTCACACCTTCTTCCTGAAGGGGGCAGAGATGGCAACATGACACCTGTGCTGGCCAGGGTTTGAGTTAGGGAGAATGGGGAGAAAGGTGGCAGAGAAACCATCCTTGGCCTCACACACACTTTCCCCCCTGCTAGCTCCTTTTGGGGGCATTCATTTCCTCTTGGGGTGGGGGCACCTGGGATCTGAAAGATCCAGTTTCCCAGGGAGGATTTAAACTAGTGAAAGCATTACCTAATAGGATGAGATTAGACCCACTCCTTCAGGGAAGGTGTGTCTTCTAAACCAAAGCAGAACTTTGCTGGAATTAATCACAGCTATTGGAGTGTCGTCTCGGTCAGACTAAACAATGTAAAAAAAAGCAAGCTAGGGTCTAATAAATGACACTGATGAGCTGAGGAACGATTGTGTGCCTAGAAGGAACTTCTCTACTTGCACTTGCACTGTAGGAAAAGGACAGCAAAAAGCCAAGGGAGGGGAGATGCCGATCTGTGGTCGCTATAACAGTACATTCTGCCTTGGGGCAGGGATATTCATTCATGCATTTATTCAGCAAACACATACTGATTGCTTACTGGGGACCAAGCCCAAGGAGTTGAAGGTAGGCTCTGCCCTCTCCTTTCCCATTCTGGGGGGGAGACAGAGCAATATACAGATGAATGGAGCTCACGAAGCTAAGTGCCTGGTGCAGGGAGCTATAGCCCCCCAAAAGCATGTGATTGTGAGCTCACCCAGCCCTCCGGGTAACTTGACATTGGAAAAGGGACCTGCCAACGTGGGGCCTCCACTGCTACATCCACCTCTCCATTTTTTGCTTTTTAGGTAATTGTGTCTTCTGCAATCCAGGATAATAGAATAAGACAGACACTTGTTTTGGTTCAAACACTCTTAACGGATCCTATGACATCCATTTTGCTGTGCTATAGGCAACAAGCGATGATCTAGTCCAGGCTTGGCCCAGAAAGAAAACTCACACACAAAAATATTTTCTGGGTTTTTTTATTGTGGTAAAATCCGCATAACAACTTGCCATTTTCACCATTTTTAAGTGTACCGTTCAGTGATCCTATGTACATTCATAGTGTCATGGCCTGAAGTAAAGGGGATCCCTATATTAGGTAAAGGGATGAACTGGAAAACCTTTTTTTTTTTTTTTTAATTTTATTTATTT